TACTACTGGATGTGTCACAAATTTTGACACCGAGGCATAGGTAGTCAGAGCTATCTTGTGATTTACCATCTTATTTGGACTCTGCAGTACCATCTACTCCAAAGCATAGCAATTACCTATAAATTACCTTTCTTGTCTGATCTTCTGCACGATCTCCAACCCTTTGGTGCTCCCCAATTCTCCCAGGGCTAGCTGTATCCTCCAGGCTTTGCTTCTTGAATATTCAACCTGGAAGCCATGGCCTAAATGACCCCAGCAAAATTCACTTTGCATTGTGAAGTTTTAGAAGCAGGATCACAGGACCACTAAAAGGTGAGTAGGTTGTGAGTGCTGTCTTTTTGACTGGATTCACAATTTAATGAACTATCTCATGAATGAACCTGTCATAAAAGCCAGTTCACAGGTCTTCTATGTCCACCTCTCCTGTTCTGTGATGTTTGTCTTGCATAGCCTTATGTCTTGCACTGTCCCCACCAGGAAGAAAGCCTCATCAATTGTGGTCCATTGACCTTGTACCTTCCAGAATTATGAACTAAATAAACTTTTATTCTTTATACATTACACAGTCTATGGTATTTAGTTAGAGATGCACAAGGGCCAAGATATCGGACAACAAGGCAACTCTTTCAAGTGCATGCTTATAAAAACCATCATCTCCCTCATTCATTTGTTGTTTTGACAGTTACTCATACTTGTGACCATTTTCTATTTATGCTGAAGGGTCTCCCTACAAAACAGTATATAATGCTACTGGCTGTGCCGAACCTAATGATTTAGTAACCTGCATCCTTATAGTAGGTAGCACCTCTTCAGTCAGAAAGCCATCTGTTCTTAGTTCTTATAAGTTATTATAATTTCTTCACAACAAATGCCAATAATCTACCAATATCCCTGATACCCTGATATTTCCTCAGCTCTACTTCTATTTACCTTCAAATTTATACATCAATCAACTTTACTACCTTTTTGCCTTGTTTCATAAAATAAACCCATCCACTTATGCTTTAAAACCTATTCCTTTAAATAGCCTTTGGACTCTTGGTTCTTAAGGTTCCAATGCTCTCTCCTCTCTCTTCAACTACAAATACATTCAAGTCTCAAAGTCTGCTCAGTGCTTACCTTTCTTCCAGCATTGCTACTGCTTGTCTTGTTTTCAACAGTTGCCTCACCCCAGTTGGCAGTAGTCATAAAAATTCTTGTATAGCCAGGTCTAATGGCTACCTTAGCTGGTCTCTCTGTTCTGTAAACTTGGCTGTGGATACAGCTCAGTGGATAACGGATTGCCTATTATGTGTGAGGCCCTGGATTCCATTCCTAGCATCACAAATAAATGACTTATCTTTTCAAAGTGCTCTAATACTTTCACAATGTTCTGACTGCTCTCTTTTACTTTTTCAATTTCTGGTTTTGGGTAGGATATGGAAAGCCCAAATTGTTCCCTGTAAACCTTTCACAGGTATCCCTATCCATGGCCCCTTTCCTGAGCATTAGAGCTACCCATTAGATATTTCAAAATTGTGCTCGTGGTTGAACTCACAATCTCCCCCTCATTGTTTCCTGGGTTCTCTTCCTTTAGTATATCCCTCCCCTTTTAACCAATCACCTAATCGCTCAGGCTGACAGCTTTGTGACATTTCCCTCTAGCTCTCATCCTCATGCTGATCATCAGTTCTGGGAGACCATCTCTCGAATGCCCTCACTCCTTTCCATTCAGCAGCCCCACTCAGATAATCTTTGTTCTGAGGTTCCTATTTTATTCTGCATCTCTAATCCCCTTCCTTCAATGCACCCTGCACATGACCACAAGGGAAAGGAATGCATTCGCTGCTTTATATACCCAGAAGCACTGTCTCTAGAAAACACAGAAACTCAATAAATGTTGAGCAAATGAATGAACATACTTTCATAAAATTCCCAAATAATCATGGTACTGTGTACTAAGAATACCTCTGAGGAACCATGTTAGAGAATGTGCATATATAGATTATCATAAACATACCAGATATAAATATTGCTAGAGACACTGAACCCAAGTCCTCAGCATGCCATTTAAAGCCCTTCAGAGTCTGCTATCAAGGTAACCCTTAAGACTCAATTAGTTCCTTCCTCCTCACCAGGGATCTGGAATCTGGCCTTCTGGGGCCTTTTGTTACACTCTATCTTTGTTCTTGCTGGGGTAGGTACCCATTTTGTTTTACTGCTGAGAAAATTGTAGCTGGAAGTTTTAGCTAAAATACCACTCTCTCCTGTAAAATCCTCCCTGATCAACAACTTTCAAATCGGTCTGGCAAGGAACTTCTTGCCATGTCATTCCACTGCCCAAGTCATGAAGATCCAACAGCAAGGACAGAACGGGAGTGAAGATGATTCTGTAATCGTCACTTTCTTTCCCCAACTACTGGATGAACTGCGGTCCTAGAGAAGGCCAGCCCCAAATACAATGAATCTGGGCTACTGAATTTCTGCACAGAGCAGGGATTTCTTTGTGACTTGCACCACT